CAGCAAATCGTAAGAGGGCGGAGTCTGATTTCCCAGTTGCTCCTCCGACGATCAAGTCAGTGATCTGCTTGTGTGGAGAAATAAAAGCAAATTTAGTAGTTCTTAAGCTCAGAGAGTAGTAGCAAAAAGCTTACCTTTTCATTAAAAATAATATCTTCTTTTATAGCAGCGGAAGGAGGGATATCGTACTTCTTGCTGGCGGCGTGTGGTGGTGGGGTCAAGCACGCTTCTTGCTCGACCCCACCGCTCCTCTTCTGCTTCTCATCGGGACCCTCATCGCCCCTTTTGTCCTCGCCCAGGTCGAGCCCCCTGCCTTGACTCTCAAACTCCTGAAGCGAGTCCAAGCAACTGCCGACTCGAGGAGGTTAGTGGAAGCGATCAGGCACACTTGTCATCTCGGTCGGGAGTTGAGCCTTGAGGTAGTCAAACCCCGCTTTACAAGCAATCAACACCTCTACTTTGCCAAAAATGCTTTGGCGATACTCCTCCACGACCTCAGACCGATAGGCCTCCAGCTCCAGATAGGCGATCCGACTTTGGGCTTTGACTAGGGATGCATCGTGCTGAGTACTCTCCTCCTGGAACCTTGTCGGGCCAATTCCACCTCCTCAAACCCTGGCATATTAGCCAGCTTGGCGCTCGACCTCGAATTGAGCCAAGGCACGGTCTTTATCTTGTAGTGCTTGCTCGACCTGCTCAGATAAGTGCCTTGCCTTATCGACACTCTCTTGGAGCTCGCGCTTAAGCCCCTTGATCATCTCCTCACGCACCACCATCTCTCGCTGCCAGATGCCTAACTCCTACTCCTTGTCCGACAGCTCCCTAAGAGCCTCGCCAATGAGCCTCAACCTCCCCTTGGAGTTTGAGGAAGGAAGTTCAGATATTCTCTATTCGGTCAAAGAGCTCTTGCTCTACGAGAGCCCCACGAACCAAGTAACTCTGGAGGGCTTGATGGAGGTTGACATTGGAGACTTCCCCTAGGATCTCCGCGTCGCGAGGCAACCAAAACTGCTCCACAGCTCTTAATTGGGCGACTCGGGACCCAAGGACCGACCCCCTCATGTTGAGGTGACGAGCGGGCTGGTGACAATGCTCCAAAGAGGGCTCCCTGGTATGCCGAGGACCCACACCTAAGGGCCCAATCAACAGCATCACCATCCTCTCTCAAGCTTCCGTGTCAATCTCGCCAAGCTGATGAGGATAAGGATATGCTAGACTTGAAGAAACCGCCTCATGCAGCGGTCGGCTGCCTTTCCCGGGCAGCGAGTGCACTCGCTGGGTCGACAAGGGCCCCCTTTCCTCTGCATGGCTTCTGTCTCAACCCTAGCCTTCGAGGTGCAACCTCTTCCCCCTCTCTGAGTCGGAGAACCGCTTCATGCCAAGTGGGACGACTTCAGTCCTCGGCTGCCTTGGCCATCCGTCCTGAACCTTAGCCACTAACCTTTTGGGGCATCCTCCTTTCTCTCACACCTTGAGCGGTCAGTGCTGGTCTTATCGATCCAACCGGTGCATCGCTAACTAGAGCCTGAGACCCCATAGCCTCCCTAGGAGCCGAGTCCTGACAAAGGCACTTCGCCGACCTCATCAATGGTTCTTCCTAAGGCTCGATGGTGGAGGTGTTGGCCCCCTGCTGGTTTCTTTGGTATGGATGGTTAGCCTAGGCGCCCTCTCTTCATCCTTGGTCGTAGGTGGCTCAACGGATATGCTGATAACTCTCAAAATAGAGTTGTCGAACAGATGCTCTATCTTGCGAGAGTCAGCATACACCTTGATCAGGTCCAGAGCCCATCTCTCTGCATCCGATAGTATCCCCATCATTAGGGCCTCCCTTATTATCTCGGGCTAATTCGAGCAGCCTAACTTTGAGTTGTCTCCCGAGACCCAGACGAATCTCTCTTTCCAGTCTTTATTTGAGTTGGGAAGATCAAGAATGATCCAGAACTTGCCTACTGCTTGAAAGTAGTAGTGGACTTCTTTTTGGAGCACTTTAACACCAATCAAATGGCCCAACGCATTTAAAGATGGCTCGACCTCCAGCCACCTACAAGTTACCACGTACCCCACCAACATAGCGATGGGGTTTGGCTTCCTCTGCATCGGCAACACCCCTATAGCCCTGAACATGCGGTGGAGGAAAGGATGCAAAGGTAAGCGCAGACCAAACTCCAAATGCTTCAGGTAGAGAGGAGCCTGACTCTCGTCATGATCGTAAACTGCATGCTCGTAACTGTGGCGGATATCGTACTTCCCGTTGAGAGATCTGAGTTTAGGTAGCGTCACCTTAGAATGGATCTCTGTCAACATTTCTTGCCTAGCGTTAAGACCATAGATCACCATTAATACTGTGAATTGTTGCTAAAAAAGATGATCAAGCGCTTGGCAACAGTTAATGCAAAATTTTAAAAAGCAATAACCGCACCCTCGCCATGACAACCTTATTTATAGTGCGACTAGGCCTCTAGCTGTCAAAATTTTGACGGACGAGCTAAATCCCAACCGATGGCCCAAATTAATTTCAGAATTCGAAGCATCTTTTCTCAAATTGAGACAAAGCGTGCTCGCCTTGAATAGCCCGCAATCTTGCATGAAATACAAAGCGATAATGGTTAAAAAGAATTAACTGACGATAGCCACGTCACATCCAAAAGAACTTTTTAGATCCCTTATTAAATGCCTCTCATGACTTAGAAAGAATTGTTATATTTCACTCGGACCCGGCGTAGGCTGACTCCAAGTAAAAGGGGCCAACTGTTTATAGCCATTTTAGTGATGGAAAATAATCTCAATCAATGACAGACAAATATCCCACATTATGCATAATCAAATTAGCATCTTAAGATAATCATAGGCCCAACTAAGTCGACTAGACACACCGACATAGTGCGTGAACGACTCGAAAGGTATCACATGTCGACGACCTGAAAGGTGTTACGTGTCGTCTCCTAGCTAAGTCGAATACTTAACCACCCCACTCGACTGATAATCGGTCGACACCTTGCGAGAGCGACTCGAAAGGATGTACTTCTTGACCATCCAACGAGCAGAAAGGCGATGAAACGCCTCGAGCCTCGAGACCCCTCTTGTGCACTGACAACCAATCACCTCACAATAAATATCATTAAATGCATTATGGGTATCATTATTCCTCTACCCCCAATATTATCTATGACACACGGACCACATCGGTTCCACACCCCCCCATCACTTCGCATTAAACGCCAAAGTGACCTCTGTTTCACTCGTCGGCCGACACCTGTAAAGTTGAAGCTAACCTGACCGCCAGTCCATGCCCAATCGAAGTTACCATCCTACCCCTCCTTCCACTACTATAAAATGAGATACAATTTTCAATGAAAAGGGAAGCTTTTTGCTACTACTCTCTGAGCTTAAGAACTACTAAAGTTATTTTTACTTCACCACACAAGCAGATGACTGACTTGATAGTCGGAGGAACAACCGGGGAATCACACCCCGCTCTCTTACGATTTGATGCATGTGCAGGGAAGAGCAGTTTGCCCAAGAATCAGATATTCGGAGAGTTAAAGGACCTCCATCAATTTAATTAACTCCTATTATTCGACTGTGTGATTTCATACATTAACAAAAGGGAATAGATGGAAACTTGTTTTATCATGTTTGTGAGTTTTAACTAAGGGCATGTTTGTTTGCATGAAAGTAATTGTGAAGTAGCTGAAGTAAAAGAAGTAGAGGTTACTTCTGCTACTTCCAAACAAAAAGTGTATTTGATTCTCTGAAAAACTTACTTCCAATACTTTCCTAAATGCTTATGTGGCGCCTACGTGTCATCCTTACTTTCAAAATATTTTTTCAATACTTAATACTCAGAAGTAGCTCGAAAGTAGTTGAAATGCATATTAATAAGGAAATAAATAATTTTTTATTAACATTTTCTTTATTAGTTATTTCTAACAACTTTTTATTGATAAAATTACTTCCTAGTAATATTTCCAAATGTTATCCGAACAAAAATAATAATAAATGAAGATGAAGAAGTTATACTTTCATTACTTCTAAAAATATATGAAACAAACAAAAAAAATGTTATTTCCACTACTTTCTACTTCATACTTTTGAAAGTTACTTCTATAACCTACTTTTTACTTCTAATACTTCTATTATCCAAACGGACCCCAAGGGAAGGGGAATGAAAGAAAATATATTATAATCAAATCTTAGCCGTGGATCCATAGTGATAAATGGGCAAACTTCTTTTATAACTATTTCCCCTCCAATTCTCTCCTCTACGCCCCAATTTTTGGGGGGAATAAAATGATCATATTTTTATGTAAATTTCCTCTTACTCCCCTTACATTACCCCCTCTCAAAAAACTCCCAAACAGAGTGAACTCGCAAATTCTCTTCTCCTCCCCTCTCCTACCCTCCATCCAAACACACCACAAAGCATGATCTGTGGTAAGTAAATGGACCTCAAGTTCTATCCTATCCCACTTTCGAGGACCAAGAGCTCTTTTGGGAACCAGGCAATGGGCCTGTTGGCCCAATCCTGACCCATTTTCTGGGAAAAGGTCCGTCCTTGCGCATTACAGCAACTCTCACCTATGACTCTCCTACCCTCGTTCTGCATCGTTAGCAAGATCTTATGATTGATATAGGCGCTAAAATGATCTTAAGGAACCACGCGGAAATAATGGTCCATCATAAATAGAGGGAGGGGGGCCTCTTAAAATTAATGTTGGTGGCTGGTCACCATAATTGAATGCCTCAACAGCCCATAGGCAGGCAAGACTTTCATGATGCCGGCATCCCACGGTTGTTTCTTCTTGTCGTATTCTAGGAGGATGAACCAATTAAAAAAGCTAAAGCATAAACAACAACAATAAAAATCATCATTTATTATTACAGTAAATAAAAGTCTTGCTAAGCATTTACGTATTAAAATTTTCATGCATAAGAAATTGTCCTCATCCTGGATGACATTTACGGAATTGTAGCTTACAGGGCCTCTCTTTTCGTTTTCCTTTCGTGTTGTTTATTTATTTAATTATTATCTACTTATATGACCAATAGAAAACGGATTTGGATCTTCTTCACTACAAAAAAATAGTGGAGAGACCACTACTTTTAATCTCAAACGTTGATTATTTAGTCCCAGCGAGCCAATCTTATACGCGTATTATCTTTAGACTGAATCCTTCCAATATACTTATTTGTCCTATAAGCGCCAGCCAAACTCTCCGCTTGGGAAGCAAAGCCACAACAACAAATGCTCAACAAGAGTACTAGGAATCGATATCTGCCATAGTTCTCATAGAAAGCTATTACTAAGTCAAGGCTTAGGCGAGAAATTTAAGGGAGTGAGAACAATATAAATGCTTCCACGCTTAAATTAGTTTCACAATAAAGCGAGAAATCTTCCTAAAAGAAGAAGAAAGATGTGTTTCAAGGTTGACTGCAAGCAGTGCGGTAAATATACATGGAGTGGCTGTGGCAAGCACGTTGCCTCTGTTTACAGCGGCATCGAGAAAGGGAAGCACTGCACGTGTCGCCCGTGGCCTGGAGTCGCCATGGCGTCTGAATCCTCCACCACTGCCACGAACTCAAACGAGGGTAATCAAGAAACAATTCTCTCAAGTATAAACATTTGTAGTCGTTGCGAGGTTTATTTGCTCTTGATTCTGTTCGGATGGTTTTAACGTTTCGATTTCTTTGCAGCAAAAGCACGAGGTTGATGATGAAAGCTTCGGAGCCATGAGGGTGTAGCAACGATGTTAGGAGAAGGGAGACGGTCTTTAGAAAATTTCATGTGAAGACTATTTTAACTTGTTTGCTATGTTGATGATGGTTGATATCTGCTCTAGTCTTGTGGGTTGTAGTATTGCCAGTCTAATTAGGTGATTTGTCTGTTTTGAAGTTTGCGATGTTTACCGCTTTGATCAATAAGAAGAACCCTTTTTCAGAATTGCTCTTCTCCAGTTAAGTTGTTGTCACGGTTAGTTTCGAGATGTTAATTTTGTGTTTTCTTGTGATCAACTCTGGCAACTACCCGGGACTCGCTGGTTAACGTAACAATCAAACATCTCAGTACTTTCCAAGAACAAAAATAAAAATCATCATTTATTATTATTATTATTATTTATGGATATTGCAAGATAACTTACTTCCTTTATCACTTCTCTACTTGTTAAAAAAAATTTCTCAGATACCATCTATTAAAATAAATAAATTACATGACTCAAATGAGAGCACTATTATGGGACCCTCGATCGAGTGTTTAAAAAATTATGACTTGGTCACATACACTAGTATGTCATATACCATCGTAAAAAATTGTGTCCTACAGATTAAGTATGAAGCATGTTGATGAGCAAGTCAAAGGCATGGATTGACATTACAGCAAAACTCTAAGTACCGGAAACATGTGACGATGGATGAACAGCTATACAAGTCGACAAACAACAGAACATACAAGGAAAAATTTGCAAAATAGACCATTTGAAAATTTGCAAAATAGACCATTTTTATGAAATATATAGCGAAATAGACCACTTTGAAAAATAATTAGCAAAATAGAACTCTTTTGAAAAAAAGAGGTCGATTTTGAAAAACAAGGCTCAGAAAACATACGGGACTACTAGTTCCGTATGTTTAGAGCCAACTAATCACGGATTAGTGACTCAGAAAACATACGGGACTAGTAGTCCCGTATGTTTTCTGCGTAGAAAATTTCACTAATCCGTGAGTAAAACATACGGGACTACTAGTCCCGTATGTTTTCCGAGCTGTTTTGTAAAATAGACCACATTTTGGCCTGTTAGCCAAAAAGATGTCTATTT